GCGTTCCGATGGCTGGTGTTGCAAAAATTGGGTGAGTAAGACTTTATGTGACTCGCAGACACTCCATAGATCGTGTGATCATTGGAGCGGCATTGCAAGAATCCCCCAAAGAACCCAATCGAACGATCGAGAAAATATATTCAAAATGTACCCCGATTCCGCCGGCGAACGACACATGTTCGGCATGATGAATATTAACGACTAATGCGACAAATTGAGTATCGCTTTCAATTCACTGACTCCGGCTTACCAGAGCGGAGCAGGTGTTAAGTTGGCTTCGAGAATTCATGACGGAGCACGGTCGAGGAGAGAGGAAAAAGCAGAGCGAAAACAATGAGATTCGTCTATCAGCCCAAGTCGGTGAAGCCGACGCGACGGTGCGATTTCACTCCGAAGGCACGGCATATATCCGAGGTTCCTCCGTGTAAGATTTAAGCCATTGAGGGGGTCGCCGGGGGCTGAAAATCTCGCGTTTGATTCGACGGGGATAGCGCTTGGAACATTGAGATTCGCATTTGTACCATGATCTCAACCAAGGCCCCCAATTAGGCTCGAGAGAGCGCTTGAATACGCGGAGATCCTGGAACTGGATCGTAGCTCACATCATTCGAGTCTCGGAGATAAATTGTTTCATGTGACCCTCGATTCACACTCTACCAAGACATCCTGTAGAGAAGTCACTCAGCGGGGATCATTCGACTTTTGAAATGCTCCTCTGAAACCCCGACTCGAGCCGTATCCTGTGATTCTCTGCCTGTCGGCTGAGCCCGATATTTGCATAAATTCGCAGCCGATACGGAAATTCCGAAAAAAAATCTCGCTATTTTACCAAATAAACATTCGATAGCCAGTGATCCGCTCGATCGAAAGATACGCAACTCTAGTTTTGTCAATACTTCCCTCCCGGAGAATTCTCCGATGTCGGAAGGGACATCGTGCACCGACAGTAGGCGTTCGAGACTAGAATCGCGAGCAATAAGCTGTTCGAGCAATTGCGCCTCCTACTGTAAACAGTATTGGCTCGTGCTCTTCTATGTATTCGGAGGCGAAAAGGTAACACAGTCGAATCCACGTTGGGCGTAGGAGGAACAGCTTCGCGTGGATATCTCTTCTATGCATCGGAGAGCAATAAGCGACACCGTCCGATCTATTGCCGCGCATAGGAATGCCGCCGCCGCCAGCGGCAACAACAGGAACACCAACAACTGTCTCACCGCAATTATTCTTCGATTTGTTTGGACAACAGGCGGAGATAAGGGACGGAATGGGCGGCGAGCGCAATCGATACATACATTGGCCCACGTGGCCGCTCATAAACTTCCCAAAAAACGACGACAGACCACCCGCTGCCGTCTGTTCCAACAGCGTTTAGGTGAAACGAGATTAAGAGCGGATTTGAGTTCACAGCCTCCGATTCCGATGTTGCCTAGGAAAGAAATGGATACGAAGGTGAGTGACAAACGGAGTGGAAGAAGCGTTTCCTGTTTTCTGAAATCGCGTCGCCCCCGAAGGTGCAATCGGCTGCGTGCTTTTAGGTTTGATAGGTATCGAATTTCTCGCTGGTTCGATCTCCTCGAGGGTCGGTGTCGCGGAAGCTCGAGGAAGACAGCAATGAGTTTCGAGCTGTCGGCGACGATCTATAGAGAGCGCTCCGGTTCCAACGAGATCGTTGACAGCGAAACCCTTGTTCGCAGACATACAATACGGCGCTAATTTGTGAGGCGATTGTCTCGTTAGGGTTTGGCATTTATGGCGTCGACATCGAATCGACCGTGAATTCTCAAGTGACTTGGTGAATGACTGACTGACTGACCCACCGAAAAGAAGACCGAGACTACAACAACTGACTGAGAGTCGAGTTTCTCTTGTGTGTGTGCGTGTATTGTAAGCGTCAGAGGTGTTGAGTCGCCGACTGCAGACGTAAGAAAGCAGCTCGCGCCTCGGGGTGTGAACAGGGCGTTCGTTTGGAGCTGTGTTTTCCGATCTGCGAGCTACAAAGCCAGGCGGTCACTCCAAAGAGGTTTTCGGCGCCCTCTTGTATCTCTCCTCAGCACCATCGACAATGCACCTCGGGTGTCGGATGCCATCTCCCCTATTCCTCATTGAGATACCTCACTCTTGGTGGACGTGTCCATCTTTCGGGGAATCGAAACTACCAGTTCCCCCCATTGTATATTTGGAGACGTCCGGTCGGGTTCCGTGGTCTAATCGAGCCCAGATACGACTGTAATCGATTCATCATTACAAACGGAATGCGAGCTGAGATGTGCGGTGTCTCCTGAGCGGTCCGATGCCATGTCGGATCATCGATGGGAGCGTGAAAACAACCGAATCTGGAGTGACAAGTTCTCGCGATGGGACTCTTTGGTCTATTATCGAGAACTTGTTCCCCCGTTCGCCTAATTATTCGCTTCCGTCGACCACCCCCCTCCACATAACTGTGCGGCTTCGACACCTTCGATGTGGACTCGCCATAATTCCGCGGAACTGCTCGCACTCTACGAGGAGAGCCTGTGAGTGGATTTCTATGTTTCGGAATAGCGTCGATAAATTTCTGGTCGGAGCTGCCGATGAGAATTCTCGTGTTAGTAACGCTGATAGCCCTACTGACCCTGTTTTCTAACGCTTCCAGACGGCCTCTCCCTCTTCCGGAGCTATCTTCAGAATGACGATTCTTCTTCGCGAACTTTCTTCTCACCCTTCGGTTATTTCTGCCTTCATTCAGAAATGCCCCGCGAGATATTAGTCGCGTGACTTCCCGCCCGATGTTTCGGTTAGGCAGGGTGAACCATTGCAGAAGAAACCATATCCATACCTCTCACGAGACAATTGGTATTGTTTCCGAGGCTGAGAGTCGAGAATGATCCAGGGAACAGATCCTTCCGGTGTCGTCCTCTCGAAATTCGGCTGAGAAATCCGGATATCTTCCGAGAGAAGGATGGATCTAGATAAGCGAGCCGATCGGACTCACGCTCGGATTCTGAGTGCTCAGGATCACCCTTACAGGGGCCAAGCTTCGCGCGACATAGTCGACGCGACGGAACAGCGTCCGCTTTCGTTGCTGGATTTTTAAACACGGCGATTGAGTCCGACTTTTATTTTCATTTGCCCGTCTTCCATCAGAGGTTGTGGCTAAAGGATTTTGCCTTGAGAAAACGGTGAGCAAATTATGAAGTCGCGTGTCTATTCAAAGTGAGAGAAGAGCAAGAGTTTCGTCCGCCCCGGAACCTAGAAGATGGGCGAGGTTTGAGCACCGCTCCGTGCCGAAGAATGGTCAAGATTCTCATTCTATGAAGTCTGCCAACGGCTGAAGGATGTGGTTTATGAGAGTCTCGTTTTTTTCGTAAGATTCCCCAAGTTTCTTCATTTAGAGTTCTCTTTCCTCAGTGAGGTGCTCTCTCTGTGCATGTATTCCGATCGACGGTACGGGATGAGCACAGCTCTCACGTTCGTCCGCCGCATCTCGTTCCCAGGTGCTCTGGGAAATCAGTTTCTGCTCCGACGTCGTCCGTGTGCTCGCAGTTACCGGTCCAGGGTCTTCTCAAGTTCGTGCGATCGTCCCACCGGATACAGACCCCTTCGTACCCGTGAGTAAGCGGAGAACAAGCTTCCCGAGTCGCGATGATTGGAAACGCAGGGAAGATCCGGGGATCCGGAGGATGGGCTTCCCAGCAAAACGGAACGACGATTTTAGCGCTAACGTGGAACAGCAAGATCCTCAGCTTAAAGTCAAGCAAAATAGCCCCACGCAGTACACCATCAAGTGAGTGCCTACGTTGAATGAGATCTAACTCACGGACAATCGTGGACGGTCCGGTCCGATGGTGCGAAATAATGGCTCCTTATGGAAAACAGTTTGGGGCATTGTTCTTGAAGAGAAAGATCGGACCGCGGGGAGATACACCATACAGCTGGCAACTATTTGCTTACTCTCTCCCTCTTCTATCGCTCATGATTGCGAAATTCTCTCACTAGACATGTCTATATCGTCAAGATGATGCCATCGACGGCGAGTAGCGAGGAAATCATGCGAGAGACCCAGAATCAATTAAGAGACCATCTCCCCCACAATTCCAACAGTCGCAATCCCGGACGCAAGGAATTCGGGAGTCATCGGGAAGAATCCAGGACCTATTTCGATTTGGAAAGGCAGGTGTCAGGCGGCAGTAGATCGATATGCAAATTGAAGATTTGAGGAAGTTCATTCTCGCTCCATTACAGCATCATGAGCGGATCCCGCGATCGGCACGGCTTCTACCGAGATAGAGATTTCAACCCGACTTTCAAAACCAAGGATAATTTCCTGTCGGAGAGTCGCCACAGGCCGACACAGATCATCATTCTTCCACCGCCAATCCATCCCACGCCTGATTCGATGAAGAAACTAGACAACTCTAAAAATAATCATCAAACTCGAACATCTCAAGAGGAAAACAGTTCCAGCGCGGGCCCTTCGTCGAAAGATTTGCGGAACAGGTAAGCTTGAAGCGAAACGAGTATGAAGGCAGCCGAATGAAGGCAGCAGATGATCGATATCATTCGAATCGAGCCCTTCACAACGGTTTGATTCTCCTTTTCAGTGCCATATTGGCTGCCGCGAAGGATACGAAGAGTCAGACATGGAAAGCGCATCCAGAAGTGTACGTTTTTAAATCGGAATCAACGAGGCGGCCGCATCCCATCCATCCGAATCACGCTCAGGTGTTCGGCAACACGTTCCTAGGAGCCCCGCCTCTCAGCCTGGATTACTACACGTGAAAACATCTCGTTTCGCCTTGATCCGTACAGGGAGAGAGGAGGAGCCACGCCAGCGCATCTCGGAGAATCGTTCTGTGAAGTGGGGGAGTCCAATGAGACTCAGAGTTCGAATACCGTAACGTCATCGGAATGTGCTCAGGAAGGCAGATAATTCGTGATCTCCGGAGAGCGTCGCTCGTGATGATCTTTATTCGCCCCATCGACTACGCAGACACTTATCGCGACCTGTTGTCACGCGGAAATTGTTCCTATTATCAGCTTATGTTTCCAGCCATCCGTTTTCTGTACATATCTCAATATTCGTATGAGGTATGATCTCGGTGCGCATAAGATCTCCATTTCGATCGGGGTCGAGTGCCTATAATTTATAGATGTTATCCTATCCCAAGCTCGATATCGGGGCAGCGGCTGAGGTTTGAAATTCGGCGGCTGAACATTCTCACAAGATTTACGCCCTCTATGGAAGAACGATTCCACAACGCAGTCCACGGCATAGACCACTCAGCGGAATAGATAAAAAAACAAAATTATCATAATAAACACAGTCAACTGGAGAGATCTTCATCGTCGTCGTCGTCGTCATCGTTCCCTCGACCGGACAACCGGAATCAATAAACAGGTTCAAAAATGACGCTGACTGCCCGACGGCCAATTGGTCCGGGAACCCCGGCTCCTGGTCCTTTCCTGACGGTGAATGCCCCGGGAGGAGCTTTCCATAGCTACGAAATCATCAACGTGCATCGAAGGTGGTCTCGAGGTGTTCGGGGGCCGCGACCGGAAGGGATCGTTTGCTCGTGACTGGCGTGTCATCACAGGAGCCACACTGGCTCTCATGGGTGCAACGAACGGCTTCTTCACTTCTTCCGAAACCGATTGCGTTCTGTGGTGTTTTGGGAGGAACAGTGACATCTCCTGTTTGATGATACGCGACAAGAGCTTTTCCAGTTCGGCTCGGAGACTCAGCTCGGACATCGTGCACATCTCCGATATGTCAACGAGATCTATCTCGACCAACGCTTCGTCCTTGACAATCGCGCAGTCGCTTTCGTAGTCATCCAGATCCGCCGGCGTGTTGAACATCCTGCAATCAATGAGATCGCAATGTTAGCCTTCCCGATGATTATTATTATTATTATTTTCATCATCTGTTAGCAGTCAGAATACACCCTTCCTGACGTTGCTGCTGGGGATTGTGAGCAATTCGATCTTCTCGAGACTGAAATACTCACGGTGAGGAATCGGTGGACTCATCGTCTGATACCTCTTCATAGACGTAAACAGTGCGTTCGATGCCGTACACCTCGGAAAAACTCAGCTGGGGGTGAACTTCTGCGGGGAACGGCTCGAGAGCGGGAGTCGATTCCACATCCGCATTGGCAATATCGTTATTCTGGCGGAGAAACAGACGGAACCTGATCAATCTGTCGGCCGATGGACTGAAGAATGCACTTTTGGAAAACCTAAGACTCGGGAGTCAAGGACGCGGGAATGGATTTTCAAACGAACCTGGTGCGTTTCTAGGAATGTCTCGAGCACATCAAAGGTGTCTGCGAACTCTTCCACCGATGAAGCTTGGAGTTTCAATTTGAGCAGGGTCAGAGGATGCTTCGAACGTTCCTCCATGGCGATCAACTGGTTGAGCGCGTTCTCGCTCAATTTTTTCAATAGTTCCACTAGACTGAAGAGGGCGCTGACACAGTCCTGAGAGTCTGGCGAGAACTTCGAAGCCAATTGAGCGCTTACTGCAAAGTGAATCCTCTTGGAGCACACGTAGGTGAATCTTGAGAGGAATCAGCCGGAGTCCACACCGGGGGATGAGCCAGGCGCAGCGGATAATTTACGAACCTTTATACACAAGAATGATGTTGTCCTCAATAATTTCAGTGATGTGAGGGACCGTAGCCTCTGACTTCAGCGTGACCACGCATCGAATCGCTTCCAGAATAGCTGCGGGCCGACATTTTTCACTTCCGGCATGGGACAGGATGACCTTGAGCAGGGCTGCCGTCAAGGATTTTTGGGAATACTTCGTGGCTTTCATGAGAACACTCTGAATGAATCGGATGCAGGACCAAGCTACATCATCCGAGGATGTTTCCCCGAGGAGAGACACCGCCAACTGCAACGGGTTGCACGGTGATTCCGAGTTGGCGTACAAGGCTAGGACGCCGAGGGCAGACGCCAGATGGTTATCGCACAGATTCGAGAGAATGCTCAAGTATCCTTGAAGATACTGCTGGTCGATCTCCTTCGGGAAATTCGCGATGCTCTGAGATACGATATTGAGGACCATTTGGCAACATGGGGCGCTCAGGTCGCACATCTGGATGGTGAGGGTCTCCAGCAGGCGGATAACGTTGAGGTCCGCAGATGTACCCAGACATTGGTAGAGTTCTAGGAGCTCTTCTTGGCATTGGTACAGATAAACGGTCCAGAGCTTGCGTTTGTTGATGAGCACCACGGCGTCTTTCTCCTCGAACTGCCTTCCCACCTTCATCGGCAAGGGCAGCGGGAGGAACTCGCAAAGGATCTGCAGGGTCACACCGAAACACTTCGGTCCGTGACGGATATTGCAAACAACGGCCTTGAGCATCTGTGTCCAGAGACTCTTGTTGAGCACTTGTTCGGTTTCGTTGCCGTAACGAATCGGTTGAGTGTACGCGAGCAACGTATCTACCACGAGTACAGACAGCTGATACTGGCCGAGACACCAAAGCAATTGATACACGTTAAGCAGGATAGGGATCGGTGTCAGATCGTTGAAGTCAGCTTCTTGCGAGCCAATCACTAACTTCAGTATCAAACAGACCATCTCCAGGGCGGGTGTTGTCACTTGCAACACTCGGGTGACCTTCATTTTCGAACTAAACTCCAACTTGATAACGAGGGGATCGCAGAAGTGCTCACAGAGCTTCTCCAAGAGCTCACACATCACAGCTAGGCCGTCTTGCGCGTACAGCTCCCGCAAGATATAGCGATCCTTGAGCGTAATGAATTCTTTCGTGACGTCCGGACAGCCACAGACGGTTCGTAACGTTTGTACGGCAGTGATGATCTGAGGACATAGCAGAGCGTTGTCTTCGACGTAATTTTTCACAGATTCGACCAATGAGGCCACGCAGTTGCTGTCCAAAGGATACTGGAGATTCAAGACCGGTTCGAGCCAAGGGGCGATCGATTCGAGTTTGGTGCTGTTCTCTGAGAGCTAGAAAGGGTCAAGAGTGGGGATTCAGGTTAGTGACAAGAATTCGCAAACGGAATGGTGGGGGGATTTTTTTCTGCGAAAATCCCGAGAATCGATGATGAATAGACTCAGTGAAGTTCGAAGTACTTCGCAGGGTCACTTACCTCGACCAACGTGCTGAGGTATTTCTCGAGGAATTCATTTGAAAGAACGGCGGTTTGTATAACAGTTTTCAGCAGGATCACCGAGTATCCGTAGCACACCGAGCTTTTGATTACGAGTTGACCATTCTTCTTCTGGAGGAACTGCAGGATGCACTTCAAGTTGTCGTTGAGCGTCAAAGCGTGAACCAGACCCTGGGCGAACCGGGGCTCAGATCGTTCCAGCGTGAAACACGCGAGACGATGCAAAGCCTGGACGAGCATTTCGTTCTGGTCGGCTCCGCCTTGAAATTCGTCGAGTGAATCCTTCGGCGTGTTTTCGAACACGATGCTGATCAAGCAGATCGAGCGCAGCGTGGCCGACACCGATGGGAACAATTTCTCCAGTAGCTTCAGGGATGCTGGTGTCCTCAATAGATATACACAACCCTCGATGTCTTTCATGATTTCTTTCAAAAACAGCTCAAACGTTCTCTGGAATTTCTTGCTCCGAGCTGAGAGCACACTGCACGATTCGATGAGTCTCGAGTATCTGTACATGGCATACAGGCCGATGTAGGGATTCACCGCCGGCTTGGGTGTATCCAATTTGTTCCGGGCAGGCAGGTTCCGGACGTATTGTGCCAAGATACTGCGTGCTTCCTGGTGCGTGATTAAGACTTCTTTGATCATGGTGGTCGCTTCCTCTAGCGACGGCTCCATACCCGGCGCACTTTTAATGAGATCGATCGTCGTACTGCGTAGAGCGGCACACGATTCACACAAATGGAGCCGTCGCATCAAGGCGGACAGCGCTTGACAGAGTCGGGCGGTCGGTCTCGCCAAGACAAACTTCACGATCGACTGATAACACGTATGGTTCTCGATTTTCTCCGTGGAATCGAACGCCAGCTTGAAGTTCGAAAACAGAAGATAGTGGATGCCGCACTGGAAATGCGACAGCATGTCGAGACACCTGGAAACGGATAGCTCAAATGATCGAAGGTCTGATTCGAAATATACACCAGGAGAATGGAATAATCATTCGGAGCATATTAGAGGGTTTCCGAATCCGGTAAAGACGACTCATGTCCCCGGTCAACCTGACGCTACCGACGACTCGGATAAACTCTGGCGGGCAAGCTATACGAACCTAACAAGATGGAGCTTTAAGGGCAATGTCATGTGAGGTTTAAGAAGTAGTTCCATGAAGTGGAAGCCGGCAGTACTGGTCCTGAGAAATTCTTTCACTGTGTCTTCACCACAGCTCCCCATAATTGCGACAGTTAAACGCAGCCCTGCCTTAAGATGTCGGACCTTGAATGCGGGCTGTGTTTGCTGCATTGCGAGATCGAAGTCGAGACCGTCACGACACCAATCGACCAGAGCGAATTGGACGTCCGTTGCCAGAGTCTCGAACTTGGAATTCTCCCCTGGGAACGGAAGATTTTTGATGAGACGCCTCCCAAGCAAGACTGATTGATCTCTTAGAATCCACGCAGCGTCCAACGGTAGGGATTGAGGGGGCTCACCGAACAGACTGGCGGCGTCTTCCATCGCCAGAACGAATTTCTCTCCCTTGAGCAGTTCTCCTTCGTTCTCCACGCGTTGTACCAGTTCCGACATCTTGTCGGCGTCTAGGCCCTGGGGCAGGTAAGATTTCTCTGCCAGAAACGACGGACACATCACCTCCTCGAGCAATTGCTGCCTCACGTCGAATATGAATTCGCGCACGTCGGGACTGACCGCGGACGGACTCTCGGACGGCGACTCTTCCGCGCGCAGGTTCGTCGGGTCCAAGAGCTCGTCCTCCGACGAGATTTCCTCCAACTCGTCTGAAATAACTACGACTGCGCTTGAGTCAATGTTCCTTCGTCCTTCGCTGCCGATACTACGCACTTAGGAATCCCCAAATCGAAATGACGCAGGCTGGCGGTCCCGACCGATGAACGTGAAGGAGCTTACCCTCGGGTGCGGAACGTGGAGATTCGCTCCAGGAGCGCTCGATTTTCTTCGGGGGCGAAAGCGGTCTCCGTTCCCTCTCCTTGTCTCGGGACTTCTTCATTGATATAACCGATTGCTTCGATTGTACTTTATCGTCTCTCTCGAAACTACCGCTCCGTCGACGGAATTGCTCGTCCCGATCCCTCCGTGTCCGGCTGTCGGGACGGTCGTGTCTCGAAGATATTTCCGATCTGTTGCTCCTGATCGGCGGAGAAGGCGACTTCCTCGACGATTCGATCGGGGGCATCGGCGGCGTCTGCGGTCTCCGCCTCTTCTTCGCACCCGGTGGCGTGAATCTGCAACGTCATACGAGCACCTTGTCAGCGAACCGGAGATACCGCGTCGCATTTGCGTTCCTAGGGCCGTTGTCTTCCCAATATTATGTATGGGACTCGAAGCCCGGAATCGGAACTCAGGCATCGCAGCCCGAGCCCCTTCCCTCAAATGAGCGCCCGATTTCAAGGAACGCTCTCGCTTCACTGAATTCACCTTTCGTCTACTTTGGAATTCTCTTTTACGATTGGCTCATCTCTCGCGACCACGAGGATGTCCTTCCTCAGCTCTTTCTTCTCGGGACTTTTGTTGAGAATTTCTTTGTAATGATGATGCTGCTGACGGACATCGACTGGCGGCGTGTCAGCCTCGGCACTCCATTCCAACGGCACTTCGACGGGAGCATGACTTGGGTGATGATGACGATGGGAAGGGTGGTGGCCTCCATGATCTACCGAAGGAACAAGAGCTCGTTATCTCCTCGAGATTCGGATCGCTTTCTGGATGAAGTTTTCGAGCGGATTGAGTGACATGAGTTACACCAAGAGCTCAGTCAGACTCACCGTTTCTGATAGGGGCCGTCGCTTGCTGCTGGGCAGGCGGGGGAGTGAGTTCAGCTTCGAGAGTCGTCGTATTGCCATAAACAGCCAAGGTGATCGTGTTGTAGCGACCCTTTATCAGCAGGCCGTCTGTTGGCACACGGCTCGGGCAGAAACGAATCTCATCCCGCCCGAAATCGAGCTCCCCAAGTTGAACAAAGGTCGACGCATTCCGTCTTGAGAGATCGTTCACGAAGAATTCGAGCTGAGGGAACAGGATTTTCATCGTAGACGTCTAATTATCCACTTTGATCGAGAACCTTGGCGAGCCCAACCGAGGCTTTCGAATACCGAAATGCCGCCAAGGTTTCCGAACGGTGAACGCATCAGGACAAATAAAGAGAATTATCCTTTCCTGGCAGGATAACCATCCGACACGGAACCTCAATGCCTAGCAGGGTTATCTTACCTGGAACTCCGATGGATTGGTTGCGCCGAGCCGTGGATGTCCTCCAGGGAAATCTGCTTGAACGCGGCAACCCAAAGGGATCACCCGGACTTCTGACACTTCCACCGGCTGCGGGAATTGAACGAGGTCCATGTTTCCAGTGCCCTGAAGCTTATCATGTAAATACCGGGTCAGACCTCACGCGACGATACCGGCCTCAAGACCGACGCAAAACGATAGGCGGCAGCTCTCGATTCGCGCGCGAGAAAGACGCGTCAAAAAAAATATTCTCTCATTCCTGCAGCTCTTGCTTCCAGAGTGTGGACTCTGACTCGTTCGCAGGCTCGGGTCGTAAGCTTCCGAGCTCAATGTGTGCCCGCCAGTGACGAGCCAGAGCTCCACCGACGAGTAGGACAATGAACGAGGAATGAAGTCGGGAGAGCGGAATATTGAGTTCCGATTTGGAAAAGATTATAATAGCATGAAGGGTCAGCTGGTGTGAAATGATTTCGTGGAGATAGCTTGACCACGGGACAAGCGAGAGCCTCGCTGCCGATAGATTATCAGTTATCACTCAATATTCTCCTTATCAGGCTGATCCGCTCAGAATGTCACTCACATCGTTAGCCGTTGCATGGGAAAATGTGTCGAAAAACAACAATTCAACGCTGTCGTCGTCCATCGTGCGCGTTCCCGAACGCTTGGGATCGGAGCCGTCACTATGGACAGTCCCGAAAAGCCCTACACGTATGTCGAGTCGAGTAATTTTGGAATGATTTCACAAAAAAAATGATTTCTCCTTCCTTCTCCGAAACACCGAAGAAACCGGTAGCTTGTGGAGCTCTCTTTCGTTCGATCGGCAGCTTCTTGCGGCTGTTTGTGTTTTGGTGTGTGCGGCGCGCTGCTCACATAGAATCCTGATGCGGCTTCAGTCGAAAAGAAGAAGCTTAGCTCTGCTATCTTCCCGAGCTCCTCGTCGCCTAAATGCTCTATAGCTCAGATATGCCGAAGTCGACTTCTCGGTCGCGAGCGTAGATGGTCGTTGGCGGTTACTCAGAGCCTGGAAATTGAGACTTAAATGATTTTCAGCCATAATCCATACAGTGGTTAAATAGATATAATCGTGTTTCATCTATCCGACGCGGGATGCTCTCACTACTCGAATCGAAATATTTGTCCACGTATCAACCGATTGAGAGCTTTTATTCTCGAACTATTTTGAGTTTCAAAGCTCATCCATCATCATCATAATCTAACTCTGTCGAAAAAACTATACAAACTAGGGAACTGAAGGGATCCGATGATTGGATTCGGAAGCGCATCCTACCCTCGATCTCTACATGGATCAATCTGACGGCGAAGCACTCTCTGATTATGATCAGCAATGATGAGCCATGCTCACAGTTTTCCCCGTCCACTAGGGAGACCGATGTTTGAACATTTTTGCAGAGATAATCCCGGGGCGATTGCCGAGACCGGGCCACCAGCGAAAGAGACGATCGATTGCAACAGTTGCAACAATGCGATACTAGAAAATTAATCCTTATGTTGAATCCACCAAGATCACTGAAACTTCGACAAGGCATCGGGTCCTTGCGTCTTGCTCTGCAAGATTTGACGATCGAATCTCGGCGTCGAGGGTAGGGTTGATGAAAGAGGGTTACGCGTCGCCTGCGGTTCCCACTTTGGCACCGCGGGACACATGATTTGTCTAAAAGCTTCGTGTCTTATGATGAAGAAACTACCCCTGCATATCACGGACCTCCTGAGCGCGGGGGTCTGTGATTCCCTGGATTCGAACTCCTATTGCCATGGTCAGTGTCCATCGAGATTTTTCATGTCCTCTCTCGCCTCCGGAAACGACTTCCTCAAAATCAAACCCGCGAATTTTTCCCGCAGCCCGGCGGGACCAGCGGAGCACGGAATGTATTCGAATTCTCGCGGCTCTACTGTCAGTGGTCCGATGCCTCCTGGAGTTGGAGAGAGTTTTGGGAACTGGGTCGGATGTGTGTGTGACCGATCGTATGCCTGCCGCCTGCTTGCCTGCCAGCTCGCTTGCCTGGCTGCTGCCTGCAGTCGCGCCGCCGCTGTCTCCCAAACGCAGCAGCAGCAGCAGTCATTTTTTTCTCTCTCACGATCAGCTCTCTCCTAGTGGTAACCGTTCAGTCTGTGTTGAGGCCCTGAAGCGAGTGGATCTCCGTCGGAGTGGTGTCTTAGTTTTGCCGATTGTGGCAAAGCCGCCCCTCCAGACGTGGCGGTTGTATGCGAAAGTTGTCGGATCCGCTGCTGCTAGATTCAGATTCCGTCCAGGAGTTCTTATTCCGGAGCTGTAGGGGAATCTCGCGGGAGCTTATCGACGCCAGCTTTGAGTGAAAGGAAGTTTTCTGTGTGCTGCTGCTCCGACTGGCGGTACTGCTTCTATTGCCGCCGCCGCTGCTGCTTCCATAATGATGGTGGTGGTCTGAGTGGATGTGCTGCTGCGGCTCATGGTACTGCCGATGCTGGTAGTGCTGTCTGTTTGAGCGATAGCGAAGTCAGTATCTGCAACGTATTGCATTGGATGGATACTTGGAATTCGTGTATGCTGTTCGCAATGCGTCCTACAACCCCACCGCCCTGGATGTACGACTGATCGTTCTAAGTGCGAAGCTGCTGCTGTGTGTTTGTGAATGTATTGAATGCCCTGAGGATAGCATCATAGTTTAATCGGTACGCACGATACAACGTACATCACCGCTGGTTGTGCGAGGATTTTGCTACAAAGCTGCCAGGAGTCGAGAACGAATGATTTCGCATCTCTCATAACTCAAGGTAAGTCACGCGCTCGAATATTAGTGTAGATTCGATATTAGCGTAAGTTCGAACAGACTGGTATCGAAGTTTCCCCGACCTCCGAAATTCCTAGACCGAACAAACCCAGCTCGCAGCCCTCTCGCAGAAAACTACCGAATTCTGTGAGAACCCGGGGAGTCTCGCTCCTTGCATTCCCAGCAGAAGAGGATCCCTCTTCGCATGGCTGAGCTCAAGTGAGACCCTGGAAGATCGACCGAGATTAAAGGTACGATGTGTGCGCGAGCAGTCAGTGAGCGCCATCCAGCGATTCGAACAGGGAAGCCCCTTCCGAAAAAAACGGAGAGCGACGTTCAATGACCTGAGAACGTCATCGCGGCATCTCGCAATGCTGGCCCATTTTACAACGCTCCTCACACACGGACAGTGCCCTTCTGCCGTGTCGGCTTTCTGCTCGCCCCTGCCGCTCACGTCGAGAAGAATATGACGGATGTCGATTCTTGGGAATATTCCGGCGGGTAGACGAGCTTGAGAGACGTTTCCGACTTACATCGTTGCCGAACATCGCGTTATCGTATATGCTAAGGAATCCGGGCGGATCTATGCGGGAGATCGTCTTGCGTCGGCTCCCGAATTCCTCGAGGGGCTGACGACGGATCGCCAACGGGATTATTTTTGAGGACTCTGTCCATTCGGAGGCGGTTCGAATTCGATCTTTTGGGGGGGCCCGAATCGGAGTTCGGGAAGGCCTCGATCAACGATGGCTCGGACTCCGTGATTCCTTTGGTTCTCAAGTCGTAGGAGGGCTCTCGACTCCGTGGAACAATCGATGATTCCGCCGCTCTACGGATGCAGACGTCGCGATGGAATGGTCTATGAGTTGCCGTTCTCCGTCTTCCCAGACCAGCAATTGAAGAGAAATCTGCCCAATCCAAAGTCAGCCCACCGGCCACTGTTCCGATGTCAACAGTTGGTTAAGAGAAGCGATTCGATAGTACAGCGCTGTTCGCCCAGCTGACTGGTGATAGTGGAATATGTAGTCCAACGATCGGCATCGCGCTCGGCTTCGAACGAACGGAGACACTCGAATGGCAAGAGAACGCGTTGACCCACTGTTGCCGCATGGGCCGACATTCTGAAAATGTCGGACTACGCGACCGCCGATGAGACGTAAAACACGCTTTCCAAACGGAACGACATCGCAGAAAAATGAATGAGCGAGCGGCCTGCCACAATGAACTTCGCCGAGACGACTTAGACGGTTGGATATTGCGATGATATTCCGTGGATATCGTCCATTGTTTAGATACGAGTTGATCGTTGCTCAAAAGTGAGCCTTCTTTTCCGTGCGTGCGCTCGGCCAGTGACGCTACTGACAGTGACCTCCGTTCCGGTGACCGATTGCTCTTGTACTTGTTGCGCTCGTGGAACAGTTGATACTGCCTCGAGTTTCTTTCGCCTTCGTACTCGGCGGAGGAATGGATCGCGAAAGAGATTCGAAGGCGACCAAATATAATTCTGCGTTCATGGTCGAGGACAGAAGAGCTCCTCGATTTCGTTTCGGCGACAATAGTTGTCGTTGATTAATGAATTCCCCCATTTCTGGCCCCTCGGATCCTGTCGAGGAAGCCAAGTCAAGCTCGCTTTGCGGGCTCGAAAGTTCCCGTGAACGAGCCCTGACTAAAGACCGCTGGGATCGCTCATGTTTATCTCAGCTGGGGCAGCTCAAATATCAGAACGTTATCCTCGCTCTTCTCTCAGTCTTTTGCACTGATTCACGGTAATCTAGGATAGGACTCCCGTCGGAGATTCTCGCGCATTCAATTTCAATGGCGCCGGCTCCGTCAACTCCTCGCTCCGAGTCTGATATTCACGGAGGAGTCGTTCGCTGTACCAACAGTGATTGGAGCAGAGCTTCGTCCGCAGCTGGGTCGAGGTTCCCGTCAGGTACTCGAGCTGGCTCAGCTGAGTCGGCTCCTTGCATCGCGAAGCTGTACCGGTTCCTCAATGGAGCGTGACCTTGGGTTTGAGGTCTCTACGACGAGGCCGTTCTCTCCACTACTTCCTGGAGTGAGGGCTAGCTTGGGACACTGTTGCGAAACAGTTCACTGAACTAGAAAGAGCTGTACTTCTAGCCCTCAGCCATCCGAGAGCGGATCTGGAACCCTCCGTCCACCGAAAAGGAGGAGGAGGAGGGCAGGATCTCCCACAGATCGAACCACGACGTCACGGGTGTCGTCACGAGTCTCCGCGCTGTTCCGCTTAGAAACAGCATAGGTCCCCATTGACAGACAGACATGCATACTCATCTGATGCATTTGAGCGTTGCATACGACATTGTGAAATGGGCTGTATCGCAACAGGCTGTGACTGAAGCCTGGTGACGTGCGCAGGTTCGAAATCCTTCCGTAAGAGAATGAATTCGAAAAAAAAGAACTGCGACCAGCTGCCGCCCAGCTAGAATGGGTGAAAGCACTTTATCATTTTCAAAACTCGCTGGTACTTATACGACGGCGCGGAGCCTGATTTCGGACGGCCTAGTTTTTATTTCCAGATGTCCCCACAATCAGTCAGCTCGCGTCTGTTCTGTAGTGTGAAAGGACGCATTCTGTATAGCGGCCGTATTCTTCTCGTGAGCGCTCCCCAGAACTCCTAGCGGTTAGCGAACGTGGACCAGACGCACAGTCGCCGGTCGCTCTCGCGAGTCGTAGGGAGCTTCCTGATAGCTCTGATCTCAAGACCCGTAACCTCTGAGCCCTAGAATTCCTGGTCCTCGATCCCCCATCGCGGGAACCGAGAATCCTCTGCGCTTTGCTTCTACATATAAGCCATTGAGCGCAGCTAGCAGCGACCAACGACGGATCAAAAGATGCATCATCATCATCGCCGCTC